CAACCACTTCTATCATTATTCCGAGTGTATGATCAACCGCATTTAAGTGCTTCAATGGGGCGATTGTGGAATTGTGAGATAACATCTTTGCATAATTAATAGCGTTGGGGAATATTGAAATTTTCCGTGGTGGTTAACTATGACGTGTCGTGTCACGAACTGTACGAGGCACTAATGAAACACGCTCCTTTCCAGTCGCGAAGTAGAAACGCTACAAAAAGCGTAATTACCGAAAGTAATAATTAAGTCCATGCGGGCTATTAATGACTCTAGTTCCGGTCGTTCGCCTCAATGAGAATCACGCGGTTAATTCTACGTGTTCAAATGGGAGGAATCTTTGAAGGCACCGAAGATTGATAGATTGATAGAAAGATAAATTAAACACATTTCCAGGTTACTACTTAAATATATTACGGAGTAGGATCTTGATTGATTGTCGCAAAATAGCCACGCCTTTGATCTACGAGTTATGATTTTAGGTTGTCACATTATCGTCATAGTATACTATATATACTACGTAATAAAATCGCGCAACTCTCCATTGATCTATGAAGGTGCAATTATTTAAATTCTAAATGAATTTACGTATTTTCATATTTCTCATAAATTTGCGATAAATTGTTAAGAGTGTACCTTCAATTTTATTTTAACAGAATCTTAATCTCAAGCTAATTAAGTTATCGAAAATACACGGGAATAGATAAGTAGACGTAGTCAAATTTTCTTGATTTTGGAATAATGATTATTAAATTAATTAAAAAGATTTTGATCTAGCGAACAAAAATAAATAACGATACTCTCGGACATACTCTGGACGTTATAACGTAAGAAAGAACTGTGGCGTACGCGTCACTCGGAAAAATATCCTTGCAGATCCGCGCATGAGAATCCGAGCTTTTGCTCGGACGACAGAATCCACAGCCGAGGCCCGACTGATTTACGAGTCAGGTCTCGCGTCATCTCCGTCATATTTATTTGTTTGTGGCCTCGTCGTGATGCCCCGAGCAGCTGGCCCGAGGGCAACTTATAACGATATTTTCGTCAGCGAGATGTCTCGCGGACACTTCCTGCTGATATTCGCGCATGGTGGTACCGGGGATCGGTTGACGCCGACGGGTAAGTGAGCAGGCAGTAAGCTCAGCTTAATTAATTACGGTCGGAGCGGAACGGACGAGCGGAGCTGTTAATGGCCGCGGGCGAATTCGCGCGTAACGCAATGTGTTTCTTGCGACACGTTGCGGCCACGTCGAATTAAATTTAACGGCTAATTGATTTTGCCTCTCAAAATCCCTGCCGATCGACGGCCCGTGTTATCGAGTTATCGAATTTTTTTCTTTCAACGCCAACTCCGCAACAGAGTGCCTGAATTCAACAATTTAATTGTACGCGCGAAAATAAAGATCTCTTCCGGTGAAATAATAAACAGCAAAGTGGCCTATTATAAAGCGTTATTGATTGAGAAATTAAGGGGAATTTAATGTCTCGCGGAAATATTAGCAACGCATCAACAGGTTTTATGATTTTATCATATATCCTCATATGTAGTTTTATTGCCTTATAATACTGTCGATAATATTACTGTTCACGCATGATGTCTTTCCGCTTTTTTCTTACAATTGCAACGATAATTTAATAAGAAAGCTTCAATAAAATGTTAATAAGATATTTTCTTTATTTACACGTGTGTGAATGAAAGATTTATATAACACTGATAACATTTATGTAAATCACATTCTAATTTTGAATTATTTTTTTAGAGATAATTTTTTTTATATAAATCTACTCCACAATTAATTCCTTTTCTATTTCGTCGCAAGTCGATGTTTTTTAATAATCTTTTTTTTTGTTAATCAATTCTTCGGATTATTCCTTCTATAGGTTTAACTTTTTTCGAGAAATTAAATCTCTCAGTTTTAAAAGTGATGCAAGGTGTTAAAGGAATCAAATCGCATTCTCTGCATTGTCACGCCTCCCAATGGGAGATTTCTCTTTCCTTTTCGCGCAATGACCATTTGTCTCGATTAGTGCCGGCCGTCTTGAAGTCTCTTCGTAAACCGGGAGACATCGATTCCTGGTAGAAGAGGTCGCGAGTACCTACTTCCTACACGTCGCGTCATAAGAACGCAATTTTAACATACGTGATATTGTCTATTGCAACATAATTCTGACACATGCTTAAGAAAATGTCCCTTTATTTTTTCAGTTTAACTACGAAATTTAGATTACATGATATTATTTTACAAAATTAGTCATTGTAAAATATGGTAATATTTTACAAAAGCTTTAATTTTATAAAATTTTTTAAATCGTAAATTTTTCATGTCTGACTGTGTTAATATATAAAAACTGTCATTTAGCTTGATCTTGAATCTCAATTCTGAAACTTATTTGCAAAAAATATTTTTTTAAATATGTTTTTGTGCACAGTCGAACGAAAGCAATGCATTTTTGATAACGGTTTCATGAATCGTGCGCTGATATGTGTTTGTAAGCGGCTCGGGGGTACCATTTTATTGCTCATCAGTTTGCTTAGTCGGTTGTAAGCCGCAATTACGCAACATCAGCATGATGGTGGTATATGATCGCCGCGGCAGGGTGAATCGATGTAAACTCGCGAGACGGCTTCCGCCGAGTCCGCTTGATGAGCAGGTATCTGCTAGAAGCAGGCAACGTACGTCCATCCATGCGGTTAGTACTTAGCTACCGCGTTAATCCGCGGCTGCTGGAAGACGGGTGGAATTAGAGCCAGATTAAGACTCGACTGCCGCGTCGGGCTTTGAATTGCGAAACGCACCAGTCGAAAAACACAATTTCTAAAGCTCTCGAGATATCCGTAGCTATGCAACTTTTTTGTGCAATAAGTGTTACCGTAGTTTCATTTACTCGCGCGTTTCTCTTTTTCGTTTTTGACAGATGCTACTTCAACGGAATGCTTTCCTTTTATGAAAAGAAATTGGAAAGGAATTATTTTGATATTTTAATGTATGTAATAATCTGGATTTTCATTATGTTAATGAAAAAAGAGGTTCTAATTTTTTACAATATATTCTTAAGAGTAATTAATTTGTTCAGACCCGTGTAATTATTGCTGTTCCATCACTTTTGCATCCTTATAATATTTATTTTTGATTGCTACGAATTTTCCTAATTATCATGCAAGAAATTATCTAAAGAATCTTTTGTTTCTTGCTTTGTATCTGATAAGCCGGAGCATCGCCGCTCCAGGAAGCTCTGGAGAAAGGATCTGTCGATTCTCTGGCGAGTGTTCTCTTCATCACTCGTCCCGGTACACGAAGGAGGAAGACGCGTTCTAATGCGATCTTATATCTTACCGATATACAATATATATATATATATATATATATATATATATATTTAATGTTTTAATGCTGCGCGAGCAGTGAGGTATACACTTTATATCTTAACTTACGTAAGTCATAATCGCTTTCATTAGCGCGATAGTATCCGATGATCGCGACAAGCTGGATCGATACACGATTCTCTTACCTGTTTAATACGCTTATCTCTGTGATTGAGCACGCAATTCGAAAATTGGCAACTGACATCTCGCAAGGAGAGTCAGTTACTGCAAGTGCTGCTTGAGATGGGCATATATGACTGTTCGGATGAGACGATAACATCGAAAAAGAGGTGTAGAAGTACGACATCCATTTTATGTAAATAGACAGATATTACAGAGGGTCCTCGATACATAGTAAGTAACTGCATTTTTAACAGAGAACTTTTCCGAAGGCTGTTTCGTGCCCCATTCGTTATTTTATTAAATAAGATGGTCGATAAATTGATATACGTGTCCCCATAATGGCAGTACTTTTTACATTCGCGATCTTTGCTATATCAGAGAGACCGATACCGTTACTCCTTTATTATTATCTGTGATATCAATCGCGCGGTAGATGGCCGGCACAAGCCTCAATGACTTTGTAAGTCGAAGACGGACATTTGTTTTATCGGTGCTACGTGACCTCCATGAAAATGCGCGAATTCCCGCCGTACGTCTTTCAAGAAGTCGCTGTATCACGCGCGTGCAGGGCGAAAAATCAAACGCTCCATTATTCCCATCGCGGCCGAGCTTCCTTCCTGCGTCTGATGAACGATGAAGGTCGCCCCGGGAAGTCGTTCCCCATAACGGATGTTTCTACTTGCCGCGGGACGTTCCTTCGTCACTCCGTTCTTCCTGCGCTGCAGAAGGAAGACATCACCGCCGATACGATCCGATATTACTGTTATAGATTTTGCGCGACGATGTCGCGCGACTCGCGCTACTTCGCCGGGCGCGACGCGACGCGGCCAACGTAATCGCGATGATCCATCGTCTTAATATCACCCGACGGTCGCGGCGAACCTGAACGGTATAAATTTTCGAGAGTTGCTGCCTAACTATCTCTGCGCGCGGTGATAAAGGACACGGGTATGATAAGTAGGTGAATATTGGCGAGCGCGTTTAATCATATAATCGAAAGTGGAGTGTCGGGGAACGAGTTTTCTCCACAGATTGGATCTTATTCGCGCAGCAATCGAGAATCACGCCCGTAATCAACTACCGACACTCGATCACGAGGACAGTTCGTAGATAGCGGGTTAATAAAGACGTATTGCTAATGTAATCACGCCGTGGATTATAAGCGACGGCATAAATCCTTACCAACTTCATCACGTTTCGCCGTTCAAAGAGATAATAAGCAATTCGATTAAACTCTATCAATTATTGCTTATCACGTGAGTGTTTGAAGTTTACTCAAGCAATCATAATTATATCTTTTGAAATACTCGCAGATAAGGCCTGGGAATGTGAAAACGTCGCTTCTACATTATGTAATATAGAATTATCTCTCTTTCTAATAATTTAGTACTGGATTAACTTTAAGGTTTAAATCAGATTTTATTTAAAAAAATTTTTTCGGCGTAACAATCGCGGTTATTTAAAAAACGACGGCGCATTTTGCGAGCGCGTTGCTGAAAGCCGCATATTCACTCCGAAGTTCGTTTCATTATGCATTTCGCTTACGTTTTCATCCCACGTTTGATAAACGGCGACATAAATCCAACGAGGAGCGTTCGTTAGAACGGATCTTCTTCTATCCACGGGAGGTTGCCCTCTTCATCATCGTTCTCAGGTACAAGCGTAAAAGCGGACGGTAGGGGACGATCGTATATGACTTGTCTGTAGAAGCGAATATAGCAGAACAATCGCGTGGGCGTTACACGATCTCTCGTTATAGAGCTTCTACGATATTCTCATACAGATCGAGTTCTGTCCGCACCTCGAATTCGCGCTCTCACAACTAGCTATTTGTTGATATTAGAAAGCCGCAAGAAAGGTCCGTAAGAAACTGAATAGTAAAATTATAACCTACACACGCGCGTCTTATACTTGAATTCAGAATTCATAAATCGCAATTGAAAATAATTCTGGTTTTGTTAATACCTGCAATGTGGCAATGTATATATAAATATTAAGGGAAAAAATGATTTTGCAATGATTTGATTTTTTTTCCATTTAAATATTATCTCTCTTTGCAGATACAATTAAACTACATGGTATAAACTTTTGAAAATAAGATAAAGATGCTGGAAAAAAATTATATATAACAAATACGCGGATACGAGCAGTTTCGCAATATAGTGTTCTTGTGCGTAAAACCGCAGGTGTGTTCCTTAAACTGATCGATCGATGTAAGTCCCGGTGATGTGACGACGCGCGTCGCACGATGGTAACACGATGAAGAAGAAGAAGAAGTGGGTCAAGCTCCCTCCCCGATCGAGCAAGTTGGACGGCGAGAATTAAAAGCCAGGAACAGGCGGTACCGTTTGTCGTATCCCGCGAGTTTCGCTGTCGTAGCCGACGACGAATTGGTGATGCAAGTTGTCACTACGTTTTTGCGTCTGCACGACGTATATCTGTCAAATCGTCGTCCGTTTTATGCTGAGCACGCGTTTTTCTGTGTTACATTAGACAAACTTGGCTGAGATTTCAACCTAAATGCTCGATAATTATTCTACACAGTTGAATTTAATTGTTGAATCTACATCTTTTCAAAGAAAATTAATAAAACGGATAGAAATATCTTATATGTGTAATTATATTTTGCTCTCCTAATATATTAGTCTATCACGATTCACGATATATCAAAATTTCTTTAACGAGTTTATATTTTTGAATCTGTTATTGAGCTTGGACGATTAAACAAGTGTATCTTATAGAAATTGTTCATTGATAAAGACGCGCCAGATGTTGCTCTATATACATGTATTATGTGGAACAGGCTTAAACTAGCTTGCCTGGCAGATCGAATTTTAATATACGTTTCAGGCAATTAAAGTCATCGTCTAAACGATGTCACCCGCGGCGATTCTTCGTCACGTGTTTTAATGAGAACGGCTACCTGCGACGGCATGTTCAAAACATACGTCAACAAGATTGCCCCGACTCATTTTCTGTGGTATATTAGAGATAATACTAATTATGCTAAACGCAAAAATTTTATTTTCTATCGTATTAAGAATTTTTATGATTATCATGAAAAATATTTTAATTTCTGATAAATTATTTTACATAGTAATTAATAATATAGTTTCATGCTTTGTAACGTTTATATCAAACATTCAACAGTTCATGGAAAAATACTGAGATATTTTATTTATTCTGAAATACTGTTACAATTATACCGAATAATTTTTTACTGATATAAAAAACTTAAGAGAATTAAGAAAATATTGATGTTGTTTTTAATTTATTTAACATTAAATTGAAAAAGTAAGCTTTAAAAGCACAGTTTTAAACTCGAAATAAAAACATTTTAGTAAAAATAATTAATTGTAGAAACTTTTTGCATTACTTATTGTTAGATATGATCAAATAATACTTTAATTCAAATTCTCACATTTTTCAGTATCAATTGTGACTTACGAATACAAAAAGAAATACTTATAATGTTTTTAAATTTATACGTCACTGAATTGACATATTCTCGTAAGTTCATGCAGACATTAATTACTAGCATTAAGACGTTTCTAATCGCATGTCCATCGCAACGCGCGGCGACGTAGAAACATCGGAAGTCGAGTTGTACCACGGTTTACAATTCCGGCGAGTGATAAGCGCAACTTATGTGCCGACTTTGTGGTCACCATCAGGCAACGCGGAGGCCAAGGGCGCGATGTGACACGAGGATTACGTTCCCACGAGAAAGAAGCAGCGTATCGTAGCGCGTGTGTTCGGCTACCTATTAGCAATTATCTGCATACGTGAGTGGTTTTCGGCGTAAGGAGTACATTAGAAACACGGGAGAAAATCTTATGAATTTCCTATTCGAGACATCGTTAATCGTTCCAGCCTCTTTATTTCTATTATTATCGCATGAAACTTCGTATTTGCTTTACCATTGAGTGAAATACTTATTAGTAATTTTCAAATTATCATCGCGTTATTTTTAAAATTCGCATATCACTATATTATATTTGCTATCGAGTTTCTTCAGTCCAGTTCCTTAAACGGTTTTGTTATTTAATTTTAAACGAAATTGTATACTTTTTGAGGTGATAATTGAATGTCTGCTAACTTTCTATAAATTCGGAGATATTTATTTAGGATTTTAAGAATGTCTTAAGTGGAGAATAATATATTTTATAAATAACGATTGAACATTGCAAAACGTAGAAGAAGAAAGAATGCAAGAAAATATTTAATGATTCGTTATTGTGGCATTGTATTCCGTCGTGGATTTAATGGATATCGGAACAGATGTGTCATTTAACTGAATAGGTTTTCTCTACCTGTCTTGTTCTTCGACTCGGTGGCAATGCGGTAAGGAGGGGGCTAAAGATGCTGCGCGGGCGTGGGAATATTATTCCTCCGGGGGCCACTGACCACAGTGTGCAGCGTGAGGCCCACGGGCCTCACTCGAGCCGAGTCACTGGACTCATGCTCTTTCGAGAGTCCTTCGGGCGCAAGTCGCAGAACCATGATACAAATGCGCCTCTGTCAGAACTGCATAAGCGATAGTAGTTGTGTATTGTTTCGAACAAATGAATACATTTTCCGTAAATGATTTCTATGTAGGCTTAAATAAGAGCAGCAACGATGCTGTTTAGATGTTGAAGAAGTTAATCAGTAAATAATCTTAAGTCATTTATTTTTTCAAGATAAACAAGGTTACAAACAAGATTAAAATTAAATTTTTTGAATTGCAATTGTTAAAATGCACACGCAATTTAATTGTACAATAAAAATTAACTTTCCTAGACCTTTATTATTCTAATGAGATAAGAATACAAATTTAATGGTATAATATTAAAAGGTTCTCTCTTTAAAATCAAGGAAGAATACACGTGAGCTATTTTTTGTTAACAGAGTTTAAGAAAGAAAAGCCAATTAACTTGAAAAAATGTTTTGTTCGCCGGACTACTACCGCTAAACTAATTACGGTCAATCCCGTTGCGACTAAATAACGTACACTTGCTATTGATTATACAACGCTATTAATAACGAGAGTTTGAAGTCACGATTAATGAGAATATATTCGGGCTGGACACAAAAGCGACTCCAAGAGGATCAGAGACAAAAGACGGAGGTATATCGGCTCGCCTCGATCGATCCGCGTGTCGCGACCTCGGTGCCCGTGGGGACCCCGGCCCGGCAGGTGCTGGCGGCGGGCCCCCGGTTCCTCTCTCCGGGCCCCCGAGGCTCCTTTCTCGTCCCCACCATCCTCGCGGCGGCGACTCGTTCGGCAGACTCGTTTGATCGCCGCCGCTCACGACTCTCCAGGTACGCCGGGACGATAATTATTATCCTTGCGTAACCGCCCTCGGGGCGAGATATCTGTGTACCCTAGGTGTATGCTCCTGGGAATAAATATGCGTCCCGCTCTTTCTCCCGCTCGTCTTACGGCCCGTTTCCACCGGCGCAGTTTCGATGCCAGCGAAGAAAAATTAAGAGAAACAGCGCGGGACGAAGGGACGGACGGGGGCGGGGAGACGGTGAGATCGCAAAAGCGAGAAGGAACGAACGAAAGGGTAATAGGGGTCAATGGGGGTCAATGGGCGCTTAATTAAAAATTTTTGTTTTAAACTGTTTTAATGTAAACAATGAATTGATTATTAGTATAATATCGCATTCTTGCAATATCGACTTATATGCGTATAAATTAATAAGGTGGTTTTCGAGAGAAATGGTCGATGCTGTAATTCATATTGATTAAAGGATTTTCTACAATTATAAATAGAATTAACTGTGATAAACAATATTCTAACAGTATAATATGTGATTACATAAATAAGTAAATAAATCAATTTGGACTGGAATAATCAATTATTTGTTTTATGAATTTATAAAAACACAGGAAATTGAGGTCATAAAAACATTACATATTTTATACGTGATGCATCTTTTTAATTTGTGATATATTCTCTTACGTGCAAGATATATTTGCACGTTTACACAGACGGCGGTTTCTGCGAACAAACTCGAAAGCGGATTTCAATGCGCGGCAGAAAAAATTAAGAGACGGAAATCGAGAGAGAACGAATGAGAGGGTAATGGGGGTCAAATGATACCTGGCCGAGGAACCATCCGTCTTCGGCCTGCTGGACGCACCTTTCCAAAAAATAAGCATCTTATTCGCTCTTTTTTCTTTTTCAGCGCGATATTATATATGTAAAAAGTCTTTTGATACATGTTTAATTACGTTAAGAGATAAATGATACGGAAGTAATAAAATAATTGTAATAGATGCGATAAAATCTCAATGACTATTCATCGCATAAATACATTGAAAAAAGTGGATGGACATTCTAGTTGAGTTTTATCTCAGTTTCAGGAAGGATATATATTTTTCCGTGAAATTTTATTGAAATCGTCACTGGACTGAATCTTATAGAGTTCGGCTGTTCATGGCGCCAGTGACGCTAGATTTCCCTGCTACGGGCATGCGTCCGATTACCTCTGGCAGTCCGCATTCCGAATCGTTAAGGCGATAATGTATTCGGTCGACGGGCGTATTAAGGATACTTTATTGCTCGGCGCTTAATGCGTGCGCGGCGGTCGGGTGTTCAGCGAAGCGCATCCGCAGGCTCTCGAGTTTCCGCAAGAGCTGGTGGCGGCAGCGAGAGAGATGCGCTGCTCTCCGCGTTCGCCACGAGCACGCGCGCGACCGATAAGCGGCGAAAAATTTTGACGCGTCGTTCCGGGTCGTCGGCCGCGGGACCAGCCGGTTTGAATTATCGGCCGATACGCTATCACGATACGGTATTATATACGGCGAGGTAGGATATACCTCCTGCGGCCCGCGCGCGACTCGTAAATATCGGCCAGTATAATTTATTTATCATTACTTGACAAGCCGACCGCGGCCGTTAATAATTTATCGTAACGCATCAATTGCCGCTTAACATTGGAACAATATGATACCGGCCGATCCCCGTGCGGAAAGCGCTCGCGCGCGCAGCGTGTATCGTTTTGAATTATCGGCTTATCGGTGCGTTATCGGTGCCTGCCGATGCGATCGCTCATCGGGGCCGCTTCCTATTAACGCTGGTGATTGTAAAACATTTATCGCGGTTTGCATCTTGATGATGGCTATTAGCTTGTTAAAATCTTTTTGCGGTGAATTATATCTTGCTCATGCATTACACGGTACTTGAATTCTAAAACATTTTGATTGAAAAAAGGAACTGATATATACTAACAAGGTAATTAAATTTTTTAAATACCACGATATTAAAATGTTTGAAGATATCGGCTATTTTATCGGACAGACAGCTATTTCGTTATCATTTTTCCATATCTAATTAATAATTAAGATAATTAATACTTAAGCCAAAAGATAATTAATTAATTTTTATTACATGTATATAATCGCTATCTTTCTGTAAGTTCATTTATATCGCAGTTAAATTTTTATATTTTATTTTAGAACATTAAAAAGTTTGGGTTTTTATGTCATTAAGTCCGAGGGGATCGCGTTAGAAAAGTCAACAAATCTTTCACGACAACCTAACATTACGACGTTAAGACACCGCGTTACCGTTCCGGAACAAAAAGCGCTAAACTGCTAATCGCGTAATTGT